TTTTTATGTTCATTTGATTTATATTTTGCTATTTTGTGTAATTTCAAAATTTGTTATGATTGGTTTAATCTTTGTGTTTTCTATTAAAGAATTTATGATTTTCATTTATATTTTTAAAGTGCAGAGTATTCTATTGGTTATATTAAACATCAGAGATGGGCTATTCACTCATCAACTAATTCAAAGAACCATTGCTCTTTAGTCTCCACAAAACAGAGTGGTTATTTTTTTAGAGTTCATCTGAGAGCTTTTGTTGGAATTATTCCAGTAAAGTTTAGTTATCGTTTTAGGAGCCAAAAAAAAGTTTCTCCTCTTATGTATAATTTTCCAACTTTTTTAATAATTTTTTTTTTAATTCCAGATATTTATTGTTATTTCAATACAGAAAGAAGGTTTTAAGGAATTTCAAAACTGCAATTAAAAGAAATCAAGGGGTTAGTTTGATTAGATTGTTTCACCTGATCCCACTGTTCGTTTGATTTTTTTTCCTGCTGTTTCTTCTTCTTGCTCCCAATTTCAGATCAAGGTTGTTGTTAGTGAATGGTGAGTCATAAACAAAAAATGATTCAGTTCATCTCTGGTCTGACTCCATAAAAGGGCAGTTTGACCATCACTGACAGTAACCCTGTCTTTTGTAATGCAAAACTTTTGTAAATTTGCAGTTGCCTAAGTGCACAACAACCATAACATTCAAACTGAAATAAGGTAATTAGGAAAAAAAAAAAAAAAAAAAAAAAAAACTCCATAAATTATTTTTTCTTTCCTCCATCTGAATTTCTTGCATTCAAACAATATTTATGTAGTTAATCACTTGTTTATCACCATAAGTATTTACTGTTTATTCACATTTAAAATGCTGAAAATACCATGCTGACTGAACCACCAGTTAAGCAATTTGCAATAAAGGGATTAGCCCAGGCTTTTAATTTATTGACATGACATTAGCAAAATTCGAATCAACAGATCTGATGAGTTTGAGAGTGTTAGCAGTTTTACCTTTTAAATATATCTAACTGCAAGGCCATGTATGATGATAAAAGGCATGTAGCTATACAATATGTTGTAGGTAAGTTCATGGCATAGCTTCATAACATCAAGATGACAAATCAGACTACTCTGGCTACCCTTAGCCTTCAGCTTTGACAAAAGTAGAAAGTTCCAGAAAACAGCATCATTGTTCACAAACCATTTACCACCAATGCTAAACCTTCTACTAGAGAGGCAAATTAGCTGTCAACAAAATATTTTTTATTTGAAAAGTGTTATTAGGACAATTTGCCTTGAAAGACTATTAATTTCGTTTTGACATTTTGCATTGAAAACTTTAAAAGGCTATATCACTTTTCAAATCGTTGCCACCATATATGATCGCCCTGTCTTATATTTAAAGAAATTAAATAATGAAGAATCTGCATAAATGTATGTATTTTTCTCGCATTGTGATGAAACAATGGGACCTAGAGCTATCAAAATTTGAATAACGTCATCTTCCATAGAATATGGGCATGTCGAAGCCCTAATTTGAATTTGAAATTTGTTTTATTATCGATTTCAGATTTTGTAACACTTCAACGAATTTTTGATTAAAAAACTCAAGGATTTCAAAGCGAGCAATGCCAAACCTGTTCGGAAATTTTTTTTTTATCTCCAGCTCGTGCGAGACTCTGTATCGGAAATTCGAAAGATATGCTCATTTTAAAATTAATTTGTGATATTGCTGTTAAACTGAATTTTATAGTTTCAGTACATAGAACATGATTTTTAATAAATAAAGGCAACACATAAAATGTTAAAAAAAATACCCTTTGGACATAATTTAAAATCTGAAACCTGTCAGATTTTTTTTTTTCAGTTTATTTTTATATTTTCCATATTTTGAACATTTATATTCAAGTAAATAACTACTATATGATATTTCATTTGTAAAATAATATGGTGTAAATAATATGTTATAATAATATATGCATACATATAGTAATTATATGTTCTGCAGTTTCTTTTGAAATAATGCTTAAACAATGTACGATTTTGACTTGCATAAAGATTGCACACATTAAAAATTTACAGAACTCCTGAGATTAGGTTATTATATTTTTGATTCAGAAAGTGATGTGTAAAGTTTTAAAAGGAAATGGTACATTTTCTTTTATAATCTTAAAACGGGAATATAATGAGTATTTGGCTCATACTTTTTGGTTAATAGGTTGCTGCTTGGTGAAATTTGAATAACATCATCTTTTATAGAATATGGGCATGTTGAAGCCCTAATTTGAATTTGAAATTTGTTTTATTATCGATTTCAGATTTTGTAACACTTCAACGAATTTTTGATTTAAAAAACTAAATGATTTCAATCAAATGATTTCATTCAATGAGCAATAGCAACACTATACGAAAAAAACACTTTTATCTCCAGCATGCGAGACTCTGTATCGGAAATTCTAAAGATATGCTCATTTTAAAATTATTTTGCGACATTGCTGTTGACTGAAATTTGCTAATTTTGTGACATTGCTGTTGAACTGAATTTTATAGTTTCAATATGTATGTGGAACATGATATTTAATAAATAAAGGTAACACACAAAACATTAAAAAAACACCCTTCAGATGTAATTTAAAATCTGAAACCTTTCAGGTTTTTTCAGTTTATTTTTATATGTTTTCCATATTTTGATCATTTATATTCAAGTAAATAACTACCACATAATATTTCATTTATAAAATAATATGGTGTAAATAATATGTTATAATAATATATGCATATATACTGTTAAAAGTCGTTAATCTGGACTCGTCGGGACTTCGGCGATTTCGGATTATCGATTTTTCTGGATTATAGATCGTCAGTTTAAATCTCGTAAGATGGCATGCAGAAATTCTAAAATTAAAAATATGAAACCTTAATTTATGAAATAAAGAACAATTATGATTTAAAGGGTATCAAAATTTACAAAAAAAAAAAAAAAAAAAAAAAAAAAAAAAGCTTAATATTTATTTGTTTACATTATTAAACATTTCTTTCAATGTAAGTTGTTTAAGTTGCTTCGTTTTATGTGATAATACTCTCTTTAATTCTATAAACAGACATAATTTCTTGTTCATTTACAAAGGTCCGCTGTTCAAGTCCTGTAATTGCTGTGCCGAGAATACTGACTGACTTGTCAATCAAAATTTTTTCATTTTCACTAACCTCTCTGTCACCTTCTTCATGTCTTTATCCATTTTTTTCAGCAATTCCACTTTTTGTTTGATGGACATCGAAACATACTTTCGTTATGTAGATCCTTTGGGAGCTCCAGCATCGGAAATTCTATTTGACATAATCGAAAGTTCAAGTTTACTTTTATAAAATTGCTCTTACAGTCTGCAAAAAATAATAAGCCGGACCCTTCTCGAAGATTAAGGAACAACGCAATCATCAACATTAACTGAAATAGATAATTAGATAATTTTAGCTTATACCGTCCGTTATACATAAAACGCGCACGCGAAAACGTATTCTGCGCTTGCGCACACGCATATGCGCAGTCGTAAAGGTCTTATGCGCACATGTAAACGCCTATGCGCATGTGTCAATGCGGCGCATGCGCAGAAATTTTTTAACTTTGAGGTCCAGATTATAGATCATTCCGGATTATGAGTGACCGAATTAACGACTTTTGACTGTATATAGTAATAATAAGTACTGCAGTTTCTTTTGAAATAATGCTTAAACAATTTACGATTTTTGACTTACATGAAGATTAAAAATTACAATAGAAATTTACAGAACCCCTGAGATTAGGTTATTATATTTTTGATTCAGAAAGTGATGTGTAAAGTGTTAAAAGGAAATTGTACATTTTTCTTTTATAATCTTAAAAGTTAATATAATGAGTATTCTGCTCATACTTTTTGGTTAATAGGTTGCTGCTTGGCACAAAATGTAAATGTTGGAACAAAATTTAGCTAGAGTTTACTTTAGGCTATTTAAATACGACAAAGCCTCAAGAGCTATTTGCTTAAGATGAGGGAGGCCTTCGTGGAGCACTTTCTTAGGTAAACTGGCTTGTATTCACATTATATGTGGTGAAAACCAGCTATGCAGCCTGCCTGTTTGGCTGGATTCAAACCCATACCAGGTTGAATTACGAGTACTCAGTGGCCTTAACCACATGGCTACTGGTGAGGCATATAACTAGAGATCAGAATGCAGCCTTACCATTATATGTAGCTTCATGAAAAGAAGAGTTATCATATTAAGTCCAAAATAAATACAAAAAACAAAGACAAATACAGAAATAAGAATGTGTATGATTATTCCAGTAAGCAATTTTATGGTGATGCATTCCTAGTTACTGCCCACAGAACGGACATGTACTCTTGACATTGAATCTAAGTAAACTGAATAGCTGTCAGAAATGACTGCATGAACCAACCAACTAACCTCTTTGTAACCCATTCTTTTCACACATTCATTCTTTGTTGTACAATTTTAGTGCTCTGGTAATAGTAAAATACAGTTTCATTTTGTGGTTCTCCAAACAAAGTTTTGCAGTGTGGATATAACTTTTGTCTTGAAAGAATTTAGCCACAACTCTGCTTTTTGATAATTCCCAAATCTATATTGTTTGTTTCTTTCAAAAAGAAGCAAAAAATAACATTTCAAAAGGGGGGGGGGAGAGCAATTGAAAATATTGAAGGAAAGATTCTTGGATTGATTTTATTTTCTTCTACTTATTCATAACACCATTTCGTGGCAACTTATGAGGTAAGTAACTGGCAATTATATTTTGCATTTTAGCCCATAATTACTACTGGCACATTGTTAACAGAAAAGTACCACTCTGCCTTAACTTAGTCTTTTTATTGCAGCAAACATATACATGTATAAACTAAAACTTTTATTAACAGTTGTTTTTCTTTAAATTATTATTTCTTGCATTATTAGAAAAAATGTAGGTTATATTTTAAAAATGAGAAAAATTTCATTTGAATGACTTATTTATTCTCTTTTAGATCTAGTATGGCTTTCAGCAAATTGCAGTCAAGTCAGAATAACTCTTCAGCATTTTCTTTAGAGAAAAACATTGAAATTGCTAAATTAGGAGGCTGCAGAATTGTGGACATATGTGAATTGTTGGGTATAATTTTAGTTTCACAACCGTCTACCAATGAATTATTTCCTGGATTTGGATTTCGAAAGGTAAGCTGTTTATTCTCTTGTTAGTCTTTGATAGCAAAGTAATATTTAATTTTGCTTTTGTATTACGATTTGAGCTAAAATATTAGATAGCTGCAGATAAAAGATATATCTGAATTTTGAAAATGTTTTGCAGAAAAACTAGTTTAATTATATGTAATAAGATGGAATAAGGTAAAATTTAGTGGACACAGAATTATTAAAAATTACTTACATGGTTTTCATTTTTAAAATATACTGTTAAAATGAAATTTGCATCAATTGAGTAAGAATTATGAAAGGAAATTTGTCCTTTTGATATATTATTTAATATTTTGCGATCAGCTCTTCATTAACAAACGATAAGTTAACCAAAGCCTTAAAAAAAAAAAAAAAAAAAAAAAAAAGGTTAAAAAATTGTATGATGTGGAATGACAAAAAAATTACTGTCACAGATTATCAGGGGGAGGGGGAATCTGTCTATGGAAAAAAAGAAAAGAAAGAAAAGTGAGTTGGATAACAACAATAATAATAAAGGGTATCATGATGTTTGGGAATTGTTTATACTCCTAGCAATGCAGTGCCTAATTGGGTACAATCATGTGAACACTGTACAATAAGTAACAACCCCCCTAAAAAAATCTTTATTTCTTTCCTTTTATTTCTTTTTACCCAAGGTTGAACTAAATGACATTGTTCAAGCTCTCTCGTAAACTGTTCTTTAATGCCATTTGTAACTTTGTTTCTTTATTTTTAATAGCATTGGTTCTTCCAGTTGCTAATTTAATTTACATAATGAAATGAATTTATTCTCCAAATTAAATTTCTTGAATATAAATTGTTAATATTATTTTTTTTATTAGTTACAATAGGGTTATTCTTTTTTCTTATATTTTTCAACTGCCATCCGACTAATCATGGATATCATCCTTGATATTATTACCTTGGTAAGTTGGGAGTTAGCAAAATTATGCAAAAATGATAATTAAGTTCTTTTATGTCCTGTGCCACTGTTCTTTGTTACTGTAGCAGAATAGTTTTTGAGATCTTATAGATTTGTGGGCAAAATTATCATGAACACCTATAAGTATCCATTAAGTGTGGAGCTTTATATGATGCAAGGTCCAGTTATTTAAGTTTATTGGAACTGGTCTAAGGTTATGAGAGCATTTTACTAAATAATTGATGATTTCATTGTAATTGCCAGCATCCCTTAGAAATACTTTTATCTTTTGATGGTCATCAATAAGCTGAGCTCGCATTGCAATTACACGCAACAGTGGCCGCAAATAAACACAGCTCACATTACTAATTTATGACGGACAGATATCGCATGTATTTGGGATGAAAGAATTGCTTAATCTTGCAGCCACCGAAAGATAACTACAGTTATACAAGCGGGCTGCTATATATCAACAGTTGTTAATATGTGCTGAATTGTGCTCATTGCTAATAAAATCAATAATTTAATTAATTAATAAGTACAGAAGTATTCATTTGAAGCTAGAGCAATCATTCTGAATAGCCTTATGTAATTTCTTTCACACGAATGCTGAGAGTAAATAGTTAATTACTTCAATATACCTTTTAATTGTTAGATTATGCATGTAAGACAGGTATGGTTTCCAGAAATGGATTTTGATGAAAAAAAATCATTTGATATTTAGACCAACATTGCAGATTAAATTATGCAGTTTAGATGTCATGCAAAAATGGCATTCCACTATAACTGGAATATCTAATCTTTTAATTCAGCACTTTGCTTTGAGGACTTTTATGTATAAGATACATTAAATGCATCTGAGCATGCATAATAATAGTATTTAAATAGGGTAATATTGTAGAGCCATTACAAAGGCAATGCAATATGCTCTGTAAAAGGTAAACAGAATTGGCATTGGTATTTACGAATAGCATACTCCGTTTGTATTCTTCCATAAGTTCTGGCTTCCATAAATGATATAGGTATATTTTGTTTAAAGGATGTGAGATCTTATCCTTTTAGCTACCATGCAAGGAAAAGATCTTACTAAGCCAGGCAACTTCTTGCACAGGCATGAAGAAATAGCACACAGGGAAAGGGTGTAAATTGCCTTTTTATTGCATTAAACTCTTTGACAAAAATGTGCGTACTTTGTGCTCACAATAACACCGACTACTTGCGGTGAGAACTTGAGAATAAATTAACAATTGTTTAAATGACAAAGAGTAGTGTTGGACTACTTAATACTAACAGGATGACTCAGCAATATATCCCAATAGACTTTAAATAAATGGCCAGAAGACATTTCAGCAACTCAGTAACAGTGTCTAGCGAAATCATGCTCCGATTAACTTTCTCTTTTTGCCCATTTAAGTACTCTTCACTTAACTTGCATCCTGGCAAGGAAATGTGAGAAAAAATTGAGGAGTTCAGAAAAGATAACAAAAATTAGAATAATTGGTTATTAGAAAAGATAACAAAAATTAGAATAATTGGTTATTTAATCTAAGGGAAACTCTGCAAGGTAACTATAAAAAATAAATTCATATGCCAATAACAGGCAGAAGTTTCTTTATAAGTAAATGATACTACACAATGACTGCTATAAATAATGGTTAATCAACAGCCAAATTAAAAATTTCTGCTGTATTAGGTAAAATTGTAATGTATCTCGTAATGTATATTCTGTATAAAAAATAGATAGTTTATTAATTTAAATGTTCATGCAGATGAAAATAGGTTTATTTCTTTATTTTATTTTAAGAATATTAAGAATTTTTGTTAAATTTTCTATAGGAAGTTAGTAAAAGCTGAGGTAAAAGAAATTGGATTAAATACTAAGAAATATTTGTTCTGTGGATCATGACTGGAGCTCTGAGCCCTTGAAATAACTAAAGAAACCAAGTCTATAAATTATAATTGTATTGTGCATATAATAAAATACTTATAATATATGATGATGTAAAATTTATTCTTTTCAGCTTTCTACAATGGATATGAAGCCATCAGAATTTGTTTGGGTGCATCAGAAACCAATTAGAGATATGGCCTTTCATGTTCATGATGGTTTGGTTCTGACAGGATCTCTGGATAAATCTGTGAGAATAACAAACATTCTTACAAATACTGTAGTGCAGACGTAAGTTTTATTTGATGTACATTCTCCTCTCCCGATGAATGTTTTTTAGTATAAATGAACATTGCTTATTTCTATCAACTGTGGTAATCTGATAAGTGCAGTATATCTGTATTATACGTTGTAGGATTCAAAAGTTCCTGGACTGAGTCTATAATGTAAAATTGTTTTTTCAGTAATGTGACTATGAGAACATTTTTGTGTTACAGTAGAAGTCCAGAAATCCGCAAAGCTTGGGACCAGAGGTTGTGCGGATTTTAGGATTTTTGCGGATTTCAGGACAGAAAAGATAAATCATAATATTCAGACTAAAAGTGCAAAATAAATAAGGCATATTAGATACATTTAATTAAATTATTATATACATTATTGCAATAACTTATTATATGCATTAAATTATTATTACATAATTGATTATATTATTCATTGTATTATACGAGGGCTATCCAGAAAGTAGATTACGTTTTGGAATAAAAAAATAAACAAAGTATAGGAAACAAATTTTATTATATACAGATGAAAGCCACACTCAAATACTACTTTTCTACATAGTCACCATACAAATTAAGGCATTTATCGTAGCGATGTACGAGCTTGGAAATTCCTTCGTCGAAAAATTCGGCCGCCTGCGCCTTCAACCACTTCGTTACCTCTTCTTGCCTTCCATCTTGCACAAAACTTGTGGTAACCAAGCTTTTCGCTGATGATTTCATGCAACAAAACTTCGCGAAATTTGTGGAAAACTCAAAGAAAGTTCCGTTATTGTGAAATTTCGATTTTCACGGACTTTAGCTTTTTTTTTTTTTTTTTTTTTTTTTTTTTTTTTTTTGTTTTTTTTTTTTTTTTTTTTTTTTTTTTTTTTTTTTTTTTTTTTTTTTTTTTTTTTTTTTTTTTTTTTTTTTTTTTTTTTTTTGTTTTTTTTTTTTTTTTTTTTTTTTTTTTTTTTTTTTTTTTTTTTTTTTTTTTTTTTTTTTTTTTTTTTTTTTGTTTTTTTGCGACTTTTTCGTTTTTTTTTGTTTTTTTTTTTTTTTTATTTTTTTTTTTTTTTTTTTATTTTTTTTTTTTTGAAGTTCGGCGGTCACTATGCGGGGTCTCCCTGATCTGTCGTCGATGGTTCAGAAGTCGGCGGTTATGCTGGGTCTCGATCTTCGTCGTGAACATTGGTTCGGCCATTTTGAAATCTTATGACCCACTGACGCACTCCACCTTCAGTGATAATGTTGTCCCCATACACTTCACGAAGCTGCCGATAGATTTCTATCGGTTTACAGTTTTTTTGCAGTCAGAAACCTTATTACTGAGCGCAACCTCGCGGCTTTTCAATTAACGCAGACATTTCAAACAAACCGTCACAGTATATGAACGGAGCACAGCACGAACCTCTCACTAGCACGGCTAGATGCAGACTGAGCTGCGCAACGCTCTGACCCCAAGATGGCCGCGCTAGCCCCGCCCCTAGCGGACACAGACGGAAACGTAATCTACTTCCTGGATGGCCCTCGTATATACACAGCATCGAGGTTTGCCGATTTCGCCTCATGCAAAGATTTCCAGTTTCGGATTCCGGTGTTAGAATCACTGTTACTGTAAAATTTCAACAGCTTTTCTTTATTTTTCTGTATATCATACACAATCGTATTGCAATTCCATACGATTCTGCTATAAACCGAGGAGTAGCACCTGTCTCCATCTTTTGCAGAATTTGCACTTTTTGCATTACCGTCACTGCAATGTGTTTACATTTTTCAACATTGCAAGCAGTAAAGTCATGAGTGCATTTCTTATCTGTAAATGTATTAATAAGAGCTGAAATTAAAAATGTTCTTAATTTATCCACAAAATATACGGATTAAAAAAAGGTAGCACTAAATAATCTCGTGAAATAACAAAGCTCAGAAAATACAACAATATGAATTGTGAACTTGAAAGAAGAGTTGAGTAAATCGTCTACTTTTTTACCTCGATGCAGATTAGAGGGGGAAAAACTTTTATCATGATGTAAATAATTTGGTATTTCCGTTATGACTCATTATTATTCGGTAATTATGACATCATTATTCAGTAAGTATTTTTTCTTTGATATTTCGTACTCAATGTTGTGGTTTTCAGAACCTATAAACTGAATGTTTATATTTTGAGACGCAGTGCGGATTTCAGGATTTGGCGGATTTCAGGTCGGCGAATTTTCGGTATTTGACTGTACTATGTTCTCCCCCTTTTCTAGAAGTGGTTTGTCCCAAATTATGTGGTCAAACGCTCGCAGTGACAGCATTTTTTGTAGGCAGGTGCATTTAGTAACTGGCACTAGAAAGAAATGGCATCAGTTGAGGAGAGAATCAATATCAAATTTTGTGTTCACTTGGGAAAGAGTGCTATGGAAACTTTCAAAATGTTGAAGCATGTGTACAGAAGTGAAACATTATCGAGAACACAAGCTTTTGAGTGGCATCATCATTTCAGAGAAGGCAGGGAAAGTGCTGAAGACAGCAAACACTGTGACTGACCCATCCACTGATGGGTCGGTCACACTGATGGCATATCATGCACTGATGAAAACAAAAAAGGTGTCTGCGATGTTACACGCGAACAGGCAGCAAACAATTTGCCAAATAGCAGAATCAGTTGAGATAGCAAAGGCCACATGTCAGCAGATACTGACTAAGGATCTTAACATGCATAGGGTGTGTCAACACATCGTTTCCTGCATGTTAAACATAGACCAAAAGAGAATTCAAATAGAAAAGGTGGGAGACTTAATCTCGGCTGTTGACAAAGATCCTTCCCTACTTGACAGAATTGTTGCTGAGAAATGGTGTTTTTTGTACGACCCGCAAACCGAGAGAGCATCAGCAAGGTGTAAATCACCACAGTCTCCACGGAAGCAGAAATTCCGCCAAGATAGCTCTAAAGGAAAGGTCATGCTAGAGATATTCTTCAATATCCAAGGCATTGTGCATCTGGAATTTATCCCTAAAGGACACACTGTGAACAAAGAACTTTATGTTGAAATCCTGTGTCGTTTGTGTGAGTCAATCCGGACGAAGAGACCAAAAACGTGGGCTGAGCAGTCATGGGTGCAGTTGGATAACAATGCTGCTGCTCACCGATCCCTACTCATCAATGACTTTCTTGTGAAAATGAAAACAACTGTTTTGCCTCATCCTTGTTACTCACCTGATTTCACAACCTGCAATTTCTTCCTATTTCCTGAACTGGCAAGGTGCTTGCAGGGTCGTCGAATTTCAATCTTCATATGAAGTTAAATGTGCATCGCAGGCTGAATTAAAAATAGATTCCACACATACATGCTTTGATGAACTTTACAGGTGCTAGCAAAAGTGTAATGTTGCACAAGGGTCTTATTTTGAAGGAGGATGTGTTTCTGCAATTTAATTTATGATATTTTTTACTTATTGACTCAGTCCGGGAAATTTTGAATCCTATCTCGTTAACACAGTAATAAGTCCGAGATCTGGACATCCAATATCTGGAATAATCTAAAATCTGGACCTTAAAGCCACCAACAATTTTTTTTTTTTTTTTTTTTTTTTTTTTTTTTTTTTTTTTTATGCTTTACATATGCACATTTGATCTCCCCCAGTAAAAAAACATGTGCAGTATCTCAATTCTTAATTTCACTTTGGCACTAAATAAAATATCTCGTTATTGAAGAAAGAATCATTTTAGCATAAATTTGAATGTTCAATAATTTGGCTCCATAGCTGCATATCTGCTTGGCATACACCTCAAATTGAAGCATTCTACATAGAAATATTGTTGGTTTTACAACTACAGTACAAAGTCTGAGATCCGGGATGATCTAAAATCATAACTGGACCTCAAAGCGACCAACAACCTTTTTTTTTTTTTTTTTTTTTTTTTTTTTTTGTATGCTTTACGTATGCGCATTTGATTTTTTTCCCCAATAATAAAACATATAGAGTTCCGATTCTTAAATTCGCTAAACTAAAATTCGGCACTAAATAAAATACCTCGTTATTCAATAAACCATCATCTTAGCATAAATTTGTGTGATTAATAATTTGGCTCCGTAGTTGCATATCTGCTTTTGATACATCTCAAACCAAAACATTATTTTTGATTTTACACTATTAATATTTACCTGACGCTATTTTAGTTACCCGACGCTAACCTAGCGAATCATTATATTTTGCTTTCATCACCCATGTTTTATCAACACTTGGTAACTTGAGTTATGCAGCGATGACTAAATAATTTTTTTAAATAATAGTAATTGAATAGCCAAAAGTATGGTAACCTTTGATGTTAACATTATGCTTGGCGATGATTATAGATTTAAGTTGAATGCGCTAAGAAATGTTGACAAGGAAATATATAACAAAAATTTATTTCCATATGGTAAAAACAGATTTTGTTAATGTTGCTCATAGACAAAAATATTACATTTAGTGCTATTTAAATTGAGAATAACTGATTTGTTATTCACATACACCCAGAACTGGCGCAAGACAAAATTTTTGGAATTTAGAGAAGCACCAAGCAGTAAAATTAAAGAATGACAAAATTTAGGGAAAGCACTGGGACCTAAAATTTAGGGGCAGCAGAAATTTATAACTTAAGGAGATGCATGGTAGCAGAATTTAGCCTCCCCCTCCCAGAGACTGCATCAGGCGATAAGATATCTAGCGCCGGCCCTCGACAAGCCTTAACTATATGTGCGAATTTATTTATCCAGGACTCGTAAGCCTTAAGCATGTGCAAAAAATAAGACGTAAGTATAATAAATAACTCAATTTATACAATTCAGCCTTAACTGCTTCAGTGTGCGATAGAAGCAAGACAAAATTTAGTGGAAGAACTTTTCTTTCATCGCCAATCGCATGCTACATAGCCAATAATGTATAATGAATGTTATTAAGCTAGGCTAAAATTATACTTTACTGATTCCAATGAATTTCAGTTAATATAGCAGATTATCATGTTCCTTAACTTTCTGATTTGATCCAGCTTATTATTTTTTA